TCTCATGATTGATCTCTCCAAGGAGTGTATCTACCTGATATAATTGTTCAGCCCATATAGGCTTCCTTTTTTTTGGGGGGGGGCGCGGAAAAAAGACAGATTTAGAAACAAAGACTTATTTCTTTTATCATGCTGACTCCCTTGTTAAGAAAATTGATTTGTATGTGTAGAAAGGCATTGAAGAATACATTCTCTCTTTCTTTAGGCCACAATATTACAAAATAATTGAGGAGTGTGTTTCACAGATAGTGCTGCACTGCAGTGGTATGGACCCAGACTTCAAGTATAGGCAAAGATTAGACATTGATTTCACGCATCTGATAGGTATGTAATATTATCTTCAATGTTCCTTTAATTGTGTTTTGTCCCCCTTCTACATAATAGACACTTTTTAAAGGTAATTCTCCCAGTCAACTTCCTCCACTAGTATCTGGTAAGTCCTCATGTCCATGGGTGCTCAGTAGCTATAATTGTTAATTATGATGATCCTAAGAGTTTTGCTTGTAGGGTTAGAAATATTAGCCTATTTCATAAGTTTCAGTACAGCTGAGTTCAGTTGAAACTCAATGCTCCATAAAAGATCATTGTGTTATTATTGTAGCTGAATATGAAGCATGATTTTCTGAAATCTCTTAATTCAGTTTATACTAGCACCTTGATGCTTTTGTAGAATCATAAGTATGATAGGTTCTAATTAGTATTATAGCTATGTCCTTTGTTTCAAGTTTGATCATAGAAACACAGGCTTCTTTCAGTAACTTCAGAACTTTTAAGACTATCAAATTAGATCAATTTATATTTTCATGAACCTTTGAGCTAAGAAAGATTTTTAGGTGATCATCCCCCTATATTGGTAAAGAAATGACCTGGACTAGTAGTTGGCTGTACTTTCTAGAACAGTTTCTGAAGGATGAAGTATATTCCTTGTGGAATATACTGTGTTATATAGCCTCATAGTCAAGCAGTTTTATTTATACCAAATTGAAATCACTATTATTCATGTTCAAACATGAACTCATTTGTCTTGTCTTTGAAGAAGGAAAAACAGCAGCTGCTGAATGCCAATTATGTAGTATTCTTTTATTTCATAGTATGGCGAGGGCTCACAGTAATAGTCAAAGATAAATACCTTTTCTGTTATTTATCATCTATTCTTTTCTGATTTTAAAAGTAATACACTCTTCTTATAGGCAATTTAGAAACTTATGTAAGTGACAAAATAAACCACTAATCACATCAACCCAAGAATTGCATACTTTATACTATGGTCTGTCTGTCCATTGGTGTTTAAACCCAGCCATCCATCTACATAGGCACTCTGGTGGCATAGTGCCTAAGGCATTTAAGTGCTAACCAGAAGGCTGGCAGTTCTAACTCACCAGCCACTTCTCAGAAGGAAGATTGGGCAATCTACTTCCGTAGTGATACCACCTTGGAAACCCAAGGATGGTTGCCATGAGTTGGATCGACTAAATGGCAGTGAGTTTTTTTTTTTTTTTTTAAATCCATCTACTGATT